GTTCTCGGGAGGCTAGGACCAAGGATCAGAAACTCGGACTCAGACTCTAAATCACTCATGTTCTCCCCTTGAGACTGAGAATGAGTGAAGTATGACACATTTTCATGAAAGGTGACATCTTTGGAGACAAAGAATTTCCGACTCGGAGGATGATAACATTTGTACCCTCTTTTATTGGGTGCATAACCCAGAAAGATACATCTGACAGCACGGGGATCCAACTTGTTGCGATATTGTTTGTGAACATGAACAAAAGAAACACAACCAAACACGCGAGACTCAAGATTATGTAAGATAGGAATAGAGGGAAAATGTGAGAGCATAAATTGAGCAGGACTAATATTACCTAACACTCGAGATGGGACCCGATTAATCAGATAGGAAGCAGTAAGAACTGCCTCCCCCCAATAAGAGGTGGGAACAGACATTTGAAAAAGGAGAGATCGAGCAACTTCAAGTAAATGACGATTTTTTCTTTCTGCAACACCATTTTGTTGTGGGGTGTCAACACATGTGAATTCATGAAGAATGCCATGTTTACTAGTGAAGTTGGAGAAGGTATGATTGACATATTCTTTCCCATTTTCAGAACGAATTCTTTTTATACATTTCCCAAATTGTGTTTGTACCATATTATAAAATTGGATAAATATTTGTGGTACTTCGGATTTAGTATTCATCAAGAAAATCCAAGTTACCCGAGTACAATCATCAATAAATGAAACAAACCATTTTGCACCAAAAATATTAGAGGTAGGGGCAAGTCCCCAAACATCAGAATGAATCACATCAAAAGGTTCAACACGTTTATTAAAACTGGAAGGAAAAGTTACACGATTGTGTTTTGCCAACTGACAAACATCACACTTAAAAGACTCAACAGAATGGTTTAAGAACAATGACAGAAACATAGACTTAATTATATAAAATGGAGGGTGACCGAGACGCTTGTGCTGAAGCCAAATTTGTGAGGTTGAAAAGGAAGACTGAGACTGGAGACAGGAGGACAACACCTTTGGATGGTCATCAAAGAAGTAGTATAACCCTTCCTTTTCCTTAGCAATTCCAATCGTCTTCCCCGTGGTAATGTCCTGAAAAACACAATGGGACGTAAAAAACATTACTTTACAATTTAGATCACGGGTAAGCTTATGGATGGAAATCAAATTGTGGGAAAATGTGGGAACATGGAGCACAGATTGCAACTGAAATGGAGGTTGCAAGTCAATATTTCCAGTGCCAACAACACAAGCATGAGAGGCATCAGCAACAGTGATATAAGGATTACTCGAAGGTGTGGTATAAGAGCATAATAATGTGGAATCAAATGTCATATGATTAGTAGCACCAGAGTCAAGAATCCACGCATTCTTAGGGATATTACCACAAACAGTAAAAGATCGGGAACACTAACTCTTACCAGTAACTGCTAGAGACCCAGAACCAGAAGGCTTACTCATGGAGTCAAGCATAGACTTCAACCGTTCCACGTCATTCTGACTGAAGGAGGAAAGATCAGTTCCCCCTTTTCCAAATCTTTCAGTATCATGGGCATGTGTGGCAACATGTGCCCGATGTTGGTGCATGTTGCGAGAACTACCTCCTCGGCTAAGAACTTGTTCCCTCCCATGTAGTTTGAAATACCTATCCTTTGTATGCCCTGATCGGTTGCAATGCTCACAATAGAATTTTTCACGGCCATTCTTAGATGATGGTCCTTGTCTTGTTGTTTTGCTAACTACTAGTGATGACACATCCGGGGGCTGTTCATGAAGCATAGCTTGACGACGGGTCTCCTCACTACGAATAGTGTAAAAAACTTCATTAAGATCAAGAAATTTTTCCTTACCCAAAATCTGCACCCGAATAGGGTCAAATTCAACATTAAGGCCTGCTAAGAAATCAAAGATCCTATCCCGCTCAACAACAGTATTCAAGGTGGCAGTATCCTTGCTGCACTCCATCTTCAAATTCTGATATTGATCCAACTCAGCCCAAAAACCATTGAGAACTCCAAAGTAATCGTTGACCGAAAGACTTCCCTGCTTAGTGTTGAAGATTTTCCTCTTTAAATCATAACAAGCAGACATATCTTGTTTCATGGAATAACTTCGACGAAGATAATCCCAAACTGCCTTTTCACTTGAGAGATACATGCAATTTCTACTAATTTCTGGAGATATGGAGTTCCAAAGACAAGTAATAATAGCAGAATCATCTTTATCCCAGGAAGGGAAATTAGGAGCAGTAACCAGAGGAGGATTGCCTTCAATATGATCTAACATGTCACAACATTTTAGAGTGTGTCTGATGAACTGAAACCATTGAAAATAATTTTTTCCGGTAAGCCAGTAACCTTTTTGAACGACAAAATCCTTAGCATTAAATGAGACTGGTGGATTTGTGGGAGGTGGAGGCGGAGGTGGCTGTTCGTTATTAATCTCGACCATTGAAGGGACAATCGAGAAGAACAAACAGCAGATATGTATTGAATCACAAAGAAAAAACACAAAATATCACAAAAAACAAGCAGTGTATGGTTGCAAAGATGAGTGAACAGAGATGTGAAGCAAAGCCAAAAAATAGAATGTGCTGCAACACAGAACAACAATGATCCAAACACCCAAAAAAACAAACTGCAAGGATGACCGACAGTGAAAGAAAGAAAAAAAACTCCGTTACAACGGCAGCTAGGGTTTATGCGGAAGCGAGACCCCCAAAAAACAGGAGCTCTGAAACCATGTTGTAAAATATTTCACTGATGAAATTAAAAATTCTGCTTACAATGTTGCAACTACATGCTTTAAATAAGAGAGAATAGAAAACCTAATGGGTTTTGACTAATGAGCCTCATTACTAATACTATTAATTACTATTTACAGTCTAATATTTACAACAATAAGTATATTGTTATAATTTTTTAAATAACTTTGTATATCGTAGTACAACAAGTAATAGGTCTCATCTCCTTCATTGTTCCTTGAAATCAGTTAGAACTCTATCATTGGTGTCTTCTAGCTTGTAAATATCAGTCTAAAGTAGGCATTATTTCCATCCCCTGATTTCATCCATGCGATCTTTGATTTTTGGATCATAATTTTTTCCCTCTAATTTAGTTGCTTAGATGATCTCATCAGTCAAATGTTTAACTTCTTGGATATACTCATTATTAATTATGTCACTTGTCACTTTTGGACCTCTGATTGCAATTTAATCATTCAGTTCAGTTATTACATCAATTTCAATAAGGACTCATGCATATAAGACTTAGTTTTTTGGTTGTGTATTCATCGGCTACCATAGGTTTTTCAATTGCTCTTGCAATTTTTTCGATTCTCTTTTCTCCCCAATAGATTAGTGGTAGTTGGGAAAACATAACCCAAATTGATAGCACACGCAATACATCTTATTTTAGTGTGAAATATGGTAAAAGTCTCCCCTCCCCCATGAGAACTAGAGCCCTATCAGATTTTGATCGAAATCGAATGATGAAGTATCCTTCCTCATTGTAAAATAGTTCTGGGAGTGATACAAAGTTCACATTCATTGAAGGTTCTCCCACAATGGTGTTTTTGCTAGAACTTTAAGATGATGCTTCAGAAGAATCTCACATAACACTTGTTCAAATATCACAAAATTAAAAATCCAAAGTTTTTCTTCAAGGTTAATTAGAGAGAAAATGTTTTTCAAAGAATATGAAAGTGTTTGCAAAATTATTTGAGAGAAAATTTTACTTTTATATGTGCTAGAGATAGAACACTAAAATTGAGTAAAAATAACACGTTGATTCGAGTCAAAAGAAAGAAGAATGATTCGAGTCAAGTGAGAGAATGACTTGAACCAAGATGGTAAAATTCAGATTTAACGTGTTTGATTTGAGTAATTACTTGAGTAATGTGATTCGAGTCAAGCAATTCTCTGACTTGAATCACATTTTCCAAATCCAAATCTAAAATGAAAAACTTTATCATGATTTAAGTCAAGCAAAATCCTAACTTGAATCACACCTGAATGATTTGAGTCAAGCATTTCCCTAACATGAATTATGCATGCAGTGTTTCGAGTCATGCATTTCTATGACTTGAATCATGCATGTAAAAATTTCTTGATTCATGTCGTAAACATTTCTTACTTGAATCATTTTACTTTTGGTCAAATGAATATTTTATGCATGAGCGACTCAATTACTAGAAAAGCAATTAAATAGGCAAGCACCAAAATCCTAAAAACTCAAGGATACACCCTATGAGCAATTTCAAAAAGCACATGAATAAACAAACGATGCTTTATATTAAAGTTCAGAAGGCACATAATACATATGTGTATAGGCATAAGGTTGGTGTGTTGTAGATATCATGGCCATAACTTGAGTCTAAGTATAGGCATCGTGCTTATGACTATTGTTATGCTGGTTTCTTGATGCATTAGATTTAGAGTTGGAAGGCACAAAGGATTCATCAAACATGTGTCAATAATCATTGATAAAATGACGATATTTGCCCCAAAGTTGACAAGTAGAACGACTTCCGGCTGAGTTGCGTCCTCTACCACGACTCCGGTCATGGCTAAGAGAATCAAGATTCTATTTCCACGACTAAGAAGACCACTGGCAGAGAAGACGAATGACCATGAAGTTGTTAGGAGTAATAGAAAATTGTTATATACATAACATAAGTTAGTTAGCGGAGCAAAAGTGAATCGTTAAGGCGATTGATACTATATTAGAATGAATGGAAGCTTTTCCCCATTCTCAAATTCATTATGAATGCTCAATTACACAACAAATAGAATAATGAGAGATTATCTAACAAAAATTTGATTACACAACTAATAAAATCAAACAAATAGATCAATAATCAAGAAACAAAACCTTTATTATACCACTGCACTACTGCTTCCACAACAACAATTCTTAGTCGATTGTAGAACTGCATAAATTTTGTACAAGAAATGAAAGTTAAATAACATTACTTAACAAAACAGTAAAGCTGCTAGTTAATTTAATGATCTTCAGGCTCTTTTTCTTCTGCAATAGTTTCTAACAGTGGAGCATGTGAAACCTTTTTAGGTGGAATCATAGGTGCTGGTGCAAACTCATCAACAAATGATGCAAACAACTTCATTTCCTTTGCCATATGGAATAGAAGTAATTAACTAGAGCTAGCAAAAGTGTCGAGAATTATGTGCGTGCGGCTTGTCCTTTTATAAGTGCCAAATGCGAACACTAGGAGGAAAGTCTTTAAGTTTTGGAGTGTAGTGGTTAGATTCGGGGAAATTTCACGGCTAGTAGTGATGTTTAAGGTGGTTGAGCCAAAAATACATAATATAAATTTAGTTGAAGAGTATTAAAATTCACGTGAGTAGGTTGAAACCACAAATAAAATATCATTGTATAGTGGTGTCCTTTATGCCACGAGTGCTTTTTGGGGACAATGGCCACTCAATGCAAGGCAACATGAGCATCATTACCCACCTACTATAAATTGAATTCATTGTCATGTAACATAACTCTTATAATTTATTAATGCCAACGCGTTTTAAATGTGAGGTAGAGGAAATGAGATGGAAATCCACTATAGAAGCTAAACAAGAGGGTAAGTATACTAACATAATGAGCTGATTGATATATGTATACACCAAGGTGTAAAAATTAGTATCGTTACAACTCAGATAACTCTTCATCTCAGGTCTGTATAACAAAATTCACAGATAACTCTTCATCTCAGGTCTGTATAACAAAATTCACCGTTGGATTAAAAACTATTATCATATAGATCACGCCTATAAAATTTCACATTAATAAAAAATAAATTGATATGTTAAAGAGAATGATAAAAATTAACGATTTTCATAAAATTTTGTAAGACGTTAGTTTTAATGCATCTTGTTGACATGTCAAATTATTTCTGATTGATGTGAAATTTTATAAGCATGATTAGGACTGGACAACGGGCCGGGTTGGACGGTTTTGGACCTAAAAGTCTCACCCATCCCAACTCGCGGTTGAGCCATATAAGCCCATTTCCATCCATTTTCTTAATCGGTTTAGACGGACTGGGTTAGGACGGGTCGCAATTCAACCGATTTAATCGGGTTATTGGACTGTTTTTTTCTCCAGTAACACATTTTAGGCTTTAAAAAAAATAGTCAAGTCCAAATCAACAAATTTAAACAACTAAAACATGTATAACAAGTTTACTGCAAGTTTAAGCAACTCAAACATATACAACAAGTTTACAGTATCAATTTTAACAAAGTTTACAAGAACTATTACAGCAGGTTTACATATTTCAGCAGGTTTACAACATTAATTTGCAATGTTCATCAAGACCTAATGTAGAAAACATGTAAAAATTCTATTTCAAGGGGATCGTTCCTGCAGAACCTTCATCGAGATCAATCCACAAGATCACACTTCAGTCCTTCATGCGGAACATATATTGCACAAGTATAGTTTTCACTTGTCAAGCAAGATATCCAGTCAACCTCTACAACATGGTTTTAGACATACATAAATCAAATTCTAGTCCACTAAAAATAAACAAAAACAAAGTTCTTATACCATGTTTTAGAGGATATCATTCATATCAACATTTTATTTTGCTTGATGGGCCACTGACTTTTAGACTCTTAATTTGCCAACTAGTTTCCACATGCATTACTTTTTTCATCCTATTTAGTTTTGTACAATTGGAATTATTGATTTATACATCTAGATCACTGATGAAACAAAGAAGTTGCTTGAGAGTGGGGTTTGCTTTTCAACCAAATTAAACAATCACTCAAAGTTGATCAAGAAAACAAGTAGATTTTAATTTACGAAATAACAATGCCAACAAAACCTTGGATCACATTAGTAGATGTCTCTAGCTTTCCAGTTAATCCTGGATCTGAGCTATAGTCAACCTGCATAAACATGCATTCTCTTAAAATATTATAGGCTATTAACAGCGTATGACATACATTTAGTCGAGGAATTTAATAACCGTTAGTTAAACCAATAATAATATACTCTCTCCCATCACTATTATAAATTAAAATCCACTTTTCCGGTTCATTGAATAACCGATATGAAACTGGAAAGTATAAATATGATGTTTACACCAAATTTCTTATGCACCCCATGCTGCCATTGAGTATAGTCATGACACACTTAACAACTCTTCTATTTCACTAAAGTGTGATAAAACTAAAACTCAATCCACAACATCACTTAGAATAGTGGGAAAGATATAAAAAAATAAGAATGTCATAATATGATTACACTAATCAAGTTGTGGCTCCTGACCTAACCCCTATTGAATTTTGCAATGAGATAAATGAAGAAAATGAGTAAAGTTCTATAACACCAACCCAATGAAATGAATAATTCAAGAAGAAAGTGTTCTTACACTTGAACAATATGATGGCTCTCATGATTCCCTTTGAGAATTGTAATTTTATCTCTATAACGCACTTTCAGTGCCACCAAAAGTGAAACAGTCTCTATTAAATAGTGCCCACGATCTGCATAAATTTAGCCAACGTTATAAAAAGTATAGACACAATGACAATTGATATAGACACAATATGCATAAGTATAGACACAATGCCATTTGATATTAGAGAACTTCACTACACGCATACATTTATCTTATAAAATCCTCTATGTAGCACCCCAAAATTTTTTCCATCTCTTTTCTTGTATCTTGTCTTATGTTTCATTTCATTTTCATATTCATTTATGCATAGCATAGTTCTAGATAAGGGATCAAAGTATCATGGTTTGATTCTCAAGAAGGAGAACATGATTCTTCAACCTCAAGCAAGATTTTCTTCTTGACTTTGTGGCATTCTCAAGCCCCAAGGGCCCCTCCTCATCAGTGTGATTCAAGACAATATCATTTCAAGGTCATATTTGACTCACCATGTCTTAATTTGTAAGAAATGTTCAAAAGATTCAAAGTTGGTTCAAGGTGTTTGACCTAATTTAACAAATTGTGGATGCTATGGTCAAATGGGCATAACTCCTTCACTTTTTAACATCTTGAGGTGGTTCTTTTTCTAATGAACTCTTCTCATCATCCCCAACAAACTCTCTTTGTATAGAAAGGTCCAGTTGTGCTTGGAAAATCATCAAAAATATGGAGACATTATAGGTCATTTTGAGTTTTAAAAGATTTTCTTGCCAACTTCCAAAGGTTATAACTTGGTCAATTTTCATCATTTGAAGCTCATTCTTTTACTGAAATGAACTTGAAGATATCCTCTACAACTTCTATTCAACATGAAAGTTCCAAAAACCTATGGAAGACCTTGAATTTTATCAAAACATTATAGGTCATTCTTGTTCCTTTAAAAGACCTGAAATTTTTCTAAGTGTTTTGTGAATTTGATTCCTTTGATGCAAGCAACTTTGAAGATCCAAATCTCTCATCTCAGATTTTCAAATCAATACTTTCTTTTCATATTGTAAAGCTTGCATCTTCCTCTATCCAATGCAAGAAGAATCAGTTCATAAAGCCTCCTACATTATGAGAACCATGGCTGCAAAATTTGAATTTTAAAACTGATTTGGTTGTTGAAGTCAGAATTGAATTGGACCAATGTGGCCAATAATCACCAAATTAAGACGCAAATTCAATCTAAGCATAATTAACAAACTTATCTGAGTTATTAGATCCTTGAAACGCAGGTTTTTGATGAGTTTTGGCATGTTGTAAGTCACATTTTGCTCATGACATAGGTGTGCACGAATTCATCTAAAATTGCATCGTTTACCCTCCCTCAGCATTCCAAACTTCTCTCCTATAAATAAGGGTTTCATTCCACCCTTTTTTACAAGTTTTAATAGTCAGAATCACCCTGCTGAGATCCCATTTGAAATCTTAAGATTGAAATTCGTTTCTTCATTTCCAACCCCTAATCACTCAAAATCTCCACTCAGTTAGTTAGCTTCACCTACATTCAATGAAGCTAACCAGCTTAAGAACTAGAGGATTGTGGCCTGAATCAAGCTTGGTGACTCCATTTTTCAGAGCTCCAGAGTTGAGCTTCAACAGGTACAATTCTCAACCATTTTGCTTCAAATTTGTTGTTAAGATGTAGTCCTTGATGCACTGATGCTGTTAGGATTTTAGATTTTAATTGTTGTTGAGTTTAGCATGTCTATTTTCAAATCCGTGTTTTTTTTCCATCTAGTTTTTTCCAAATTGAGTGAGTTGTGTGTAAAAGAAATTTGGCGTGATGATATGGTTGAGATCGTCTTGAAAAGACGCATCCAATGATACCACTATGAGCACCAATAGTTATGGTTTGATGAAACCACGAATTTCTGCAAATATCTGTTGATTTCAGATGGCTAGAGGTTGAAGAATTTCTGCATCATCTGACCTTTCATGCCTAACACTTGTTTTAATCTTGCGCTTTCGACTTTTAATGGTTGGATGTGATGAGTTTGACTCAGGTCCACCATAGATGTGCGCTCCTATGCCATTAGATCGGCCACGCCATTTAATGAATGGAGATCCAACGCGCCACAGTTTTTCTGTTTTATTTTCTTTTTCAAAATTTGTTTTAAATTCATTTTATTTTCAGAAATTCATAGAAAATTCACTTTTCATCAGAAAAGTACCAAGATATTTTCTAAAATTTCCTTTTATTTTTCTCTTTCTGATTCTTATTTTTTTGCTTTTTTATTTTTCTTTTTGCTATTTTTCTTGATTTTTATTTGTTTGGGTTAATTTTAATTGGTTTAAAATTACTTTTAGGCCTTTTAAAATTATGATAAAAATATCATATGATCTTATGATGGTCTTTGACCTATGGTGACTTTCTTTAATTTTTATTTCTAGTTTTGCTATTTTTCATGAATTTTTGAGTTACTTGCTTGATTTTAATTAGTTTAAAATTGTTTTTAGCCATTTTAAAATTGTGAGAAAAATAGTATATGATCCTATGATGGTCTCTGACCTATGATGATTTTCTTGGATTCTTATTTGTGTTTTAACTAATTTCTATCCTTTTTATAGGTTTTATTTGAACTTTTTAATTAGGTTTAAGTTGCAAAATGATGTAAACTTGTTTCTAATCTATTTTGGGTGGTATTCTGATCTTCCTCAAGTTATTTGAGACTTATGTGCTTTCTTGATATTCC